CGACTTGAGATGGTCTGGCTTTGACATTGAAACACTCCTCCACTCTTCCTCCTCTATAGCTCCCTCCACCCTGACCAATTTCAACAGTCTGAGATGATTTATGGAGTCAACAGAACTGGATGTGACTAGGGATGTGACATCGGAAGAATGACAACTTGGGAAATAGGTTAAGAGGTCACTTCAAAGTCACCAGAGGCAAAAACCATCAGTCTCCCTCAGACCTCAGGTTTAACCTTGATACCCATGAGGTATAATGACCATAGGACAACTTCAAAACTCATTGCATCCTGCCAAGAAACCCTAACTAAATGCATAAGGTGAAAAACATTTGTAACTTGAGTGTAGATCACAGTGTGGCCTATAGGATCATTACATATTATCTATTGGTATAGAACATATATTGCTATGTATTAAATAATGCTAGATGCAATACATGAGATATACTTCCTCTTCTGTAAAACCATAATCACAGTGATGACATTATGATATTCACAAAATAGTTTATAAATAAGTATATAAGACACAGATCTCATTCCATAGCGAGTTTAGTTATGTTTATTTAACTCTGTGCTCATCCTCATGATATTCAGATTATTACATATAGATTGCTGGACTGTGTGGAGGCTACCTGGCTGTCATAATCAGGGCCATTAGCTATGAGAAGTTAAAGTTTGGGGCACCTGAGTGGCTCAGTCGATTAAGTGATTGCCTTCAGCTCAGCTCATGATCCCAGGGTCTTGGGATGGAGTCCCCCAGTGTCTGGTTCCCTGACCAGAAAGGAGTCTGCTTCTCCATCTCCCTCTGGTCCCCTTGCTCATGGAGTATGTGCTCTCTCTCCTCACTCTCTCTCTCTCTCAAACAAATACATAAACTCTTTAAAAAAAAAAGAAGTTAAAGTTTATGTTTATCTTGTTCATCATTCATGCTTCCAGGGTCTAGCACAGTACCTGGCATGATAAATACTTTTTTTTCCCTCAGAGGTGGACATTTATTGTTATAAAAAATCCAATTTTTGTGGGTTATCAGAATTCTAGATGGGAAGTCTTTGCAAGTCTCCAGATATCTGGCTTTCCCTAAACTCCTGTAAGGCAGTCACTTCTCACCCTCCTTATCTAAAACCAATCTGAGCATTTTGCCCTTTCCCTTTCCTCACATCCCTATTTTTGTACTGATATGATTTTTTCTTAGAAGCCATGATGAAAACCTTATGGCCAAATTTACCTCTTAGGACATTTTCTTTACAAATACTTCTTTCATTCAAAATCTTATTTTGGCAAACCACAGAAGTATACAGTCCCCTAATTTGTGTTCTATCGCATCCCTTGCGAACTTAGAGTGAGGGTCGGTTCCGATTTTGTGTCCCATGCTCCCTTGGAGCTAGGGAGGACAGCCCTGCTTACAGTGCAGGGCTGCCCTCCACTGGCTTGGGATCCTCCTGGGAAACTCCTTCGGATAAAGTTGCCTCCTTGGGGGGCACTCTTGTGCTGCAATCAGATAGTGTGTTTATCCGTGAGTGAGGGCTCTGCACCTCCATCATGTCGCTGCTCCTAGAGCTACTGATCTCAGGTCCAAAGGCTCTGCTTGTCCTCAAATACACTAGCATTCACAGAGAAGTCTGTGAAGTGCCAGTATTGCTGCTCTTTCAGCAGAGTGTGTGGTTTAGCTCACAATCCATCAGAATGAAGAGTCTCCTTGGAGTCTTCCACCCACCTGCCACTTGGGGTTGTGTAGAGGCTCCGTGAGCCTTTCGTCGAGGAGCTGCTCACTCTTCTGTGATGAAGACAGTGTCATCTCCAGCAAGGGACAACTGTCACTACAGCCCTGGGGGCTTTCTAGTCTCCCTACAATACTAGGGATTAGCATACCTTTCCTCAGGGACTGGCAGTTTGTTCCTGGTGAAAAGGTACCACAAAAATGCCCAGTGTACAAACATTGGACCAGGAGCTGATTCAGTGAAATATCTAATTTTATTCATGATGAGTGACTACTCAGATTCCCAGATGAAAGTGGATTCTAAGTCTCTATATTCTGGATTTTTGCATTTTATGGGAACTGACATAGGGATGCTAATTTTTATTTTTGCCAAATTAGGGCATTAATAAAATTCTATCTTGTATTCTGTCATAAAAAAGAAAACAAGTCTAGGATTGCTGCATAAAAAGATATTATTAAATTGAGTATATGGAGCTTTGTGACTCTTATTTTTCTCAGTTCACTGTGTTTGGGAACCACTATTCTGTTAAATATGTTCATTTTATTGGCTATCCTTGCAGGTCCTCTTTTAGTTCAACAGCTGTGGCACCCTTCCCCCTCCCCCTCCTTCTATACATATCTTTACAATATGTTTGAACTTATTGTCCTATATCATCCTCTGATGGTTTCATCTATGGCTATCTTGTCTCTTCCAACCAGACTGTAATGCTAGGTAAACAGAAGATACTAATTTTTTGAATTTATTTCTATAATGCACACTGGTATGCTGTTTAAAGGACTGCAGCCTATTCACACACGTGTGTGTGTGTATGTGTGTGTTTGGAAGTCGACTGGAATTCTCAGTTTACATAGGTACCTAAATAAAAGGTGCACATTTTTGAAAAATTAAATGAGCTTTGTAAAATAAGAAAACAAACCTTTGGAGTAAAATCTCCATCTTCTACATTTCCTAATGACGCTAGGTAGAGATAAATTACCTATTGAACAAACATGGCCCTGCATCTGAAGCACCTTATCTAAAACCAATCTAGTCTGTCTAGTCTGTCTAGTCTCTCATCATTTTTGATGATTTAGTAACCAGTAGAGGGTAGCAGGTAGTTGAGTGTCTCCCACAAAAATCAGAATTGTTTTTCATTTTAATATATTTTTTATTTAAAATATCATAAAACGTTCCTTAGACTGACAGTTGAGTTTCAATATTTATGACTTTCTGATTGCTCTAGCAGTTTAGAAAAAAAAAAAACTAAAAATGAGCCCTCAAGTAAAATTTAAATTGGAAAAGATTAAAATTCAGAATTATGGACTTTTTCTCATTTGAATGAACACTCACTTTTTGCTGGGAATTTTATGTGCCAGCCCTAGTTTTCCTATATTTGACAGTCCTTGAAAAAGTACTTAATTTCTTTCTTGGAAATATATAAAGAGTTTTATTTTTTGAAAATATACCCTCTGGACCAGCATAAACTTTCCCCTCCAGGTTGTATACTCTAAATGTGTACTTGTAAACCAAGTACACATTTCATCCATCAGGCAAATGGATGATGCATATCGGGGCACAAACCAGGCACATTTGAGTGGGTGAAAGGGATAAGTGACATTATTTTTAGAATAGTTTAACCTGCTATGATTTATGATGTCCACATGGCTGAATTATGATATGTGCTCAAATTGTACCCTTTAGTGAATTCTCATTTTTTCTGAATGAACTTGGAGATTCACAGGTGTTAAGTCTTATGACAAAATTGAATCATATGTCCTTACCCAAGACTCAGTTCTTTAATTGCTTTGGATTTTGTGATTTTTTTTCAAAGAGCATAATTTTACTATGCTCTCAATGAATACTTTACTCAGCTACTCAATGGGGGATGCTATTAATCTTTGGGTTGGTAATATGACTATTTCTCTTCAAGGTGTATGTGAAGTAACTACATGACTATTAACTCAAACTGTTATAAAAGAGATTATGGATATGGCTTGAGGAAACGGACAGTGTTGACAATCTCAGAAAGGGAATAAGAAAAATAAGAGTCCTCTTTCTCCAAAAAGATTTACTAGAAATGAAAAATTTTTTAGACTTTACTGAAATGTTTAAGTTTTATTAGACAAACCTGTAGCATTTTCTAGTCTTAGTTTTTCCTGATTAATTAATTCTTTTAGCAAGTATTTGTTGTGTGCCTACCAAGACTTGTTCTAGGTGTCGGGAGTTTAGTAGAAATAAAACAGAGAAAACACTCTGCCTTTGTGTGATTGATATTCTAATGAAACCCGATGAACTAGTTCATATTTTAAAGGAGCTTGTGAGCTTATTGAGCTTCATATAAAAGACTCAAATAGTTATATATTGCAGCCTTACCAGTAAAAGAGCAAAAATGAATAATTCAGGATTAGATTCCTAGGAGAACACTGTGAGAAGGGATGTGGCAAAACAACCTTTTTAATCTAGATTTTGCATCTCTGTAGTGGTAAGTACATACTGTGGTGAATACAACTAACCCAGCTCTAAAGAAAGTCACAGGGAAAGCAGAAATTGTTAGGATTATTTCAAGAAGGCATTGTAACTTTCTCCTAAATATATATGAAAACATTCTAAAATGCAGAAGAAAAAGGTATCTTTCATTTAGCCTGTGAAATAGGTTTTATTTGAAACAGGATCTGAAAAAAAAAAAAAAAACAACACCTTGCAACTGGTCAGATTTGGGATTTTGAGGGTGGGGTAAAATTTTAGACAGAGCTGGCCCTAGCTGCAAATGAGAAGGCTGAGTTTGGGCAACCACTTCTCCCCATCTTGTATTTACCCCTTTCTCCATTTGACTTGTTAAATATCCTGTTATACTTTATTAAAGGGAGGGGCAGGAGTACTGGACATTCATTCTGAAGACTTGGGCTTAAATGCCTCTTCTGCCATTTATTATTCGTTTGAGCATGAATAACCCACCTTGCCAAGCCCCAGTTTTCATCTACAAAATAAGGATAAGAATATCAATCTCAGAAGGTATGGGTAAAGATTAAATGCAATGTATGTGAAAGTGCTTTGAAATAATTAAAAACAAGAATTAGCATTAGTAGTTAACACTTCCTTAAGGAATGGAAATAAAACTCTGAGGAACACAAACTGTTTATATTCTAAAGCCTGTCAAACGGCGTGGCAAATGGTGGAGTTTTTCTTTTGGTTGTTTCTATCAGACTGTGCCTGTAGCCTGCAGCACAAATTATACCATGTATAAGGTGGCTTAGTTTGCCTACAGGAAGCCATATAAAGCCCAACTTATTCTGATCCCATTACTCACTCTTGCCAGGCTGGTCCCAGATGGAACTTTATAAGGGACGTACTTCCTGTAGATATGACCAACTCTGGAACACGGGACATCAAACATTTCTCCTCCACACATCCAAACCTATAGAAAGGAAATTTAAAAGTATAATGAAAGAGAACAGCACACTTCATATAAAAGAGGAATTATTAGTAAGATTCATTAAAAAATCTGAGAATCACTCAAAGTCTCTAAATTAATAATTTCTATTTATCATAAAAGGTTAACTAAGGAAAAAAACCTCACATTTTTCAAAACCTAGATTCAGATTCATGACAGTGTAGAACCAAAGTACTAGTTCAGTAAAATCTAATTTCCATAGACAGCACACTGGCATTTTTTTTATCCTAGTAGAATTTGTTCACAAATATTGCATTGCACTGACATTTAATGCCTAGACATCTTCTTATTTATATAGTTTTTGTTTTGACAACCTTGTGAAAGCATTTGAAGAAATAGCATTGGAATTTAAATGTCAATTCAAAAATTTAAAATACAAAAAATGGAATTTAAAAAATAGGGGAATGAATCAAGGAATGCCGATATATCCATATATCCATAGTTTAAGTGACATCTAGATTCTGAAGCTTTCAATAGAGCTCACCTTAAAAACTGTTGTTGCTTTCTGATTTCTCCTACCCTTAATCTTTTCTTAGGCACAGAAAATAATTGGTTATTGATGTGGACTCAAGAAATATTAAACTCAGTATATATTGTGAAATGCTGTACTTATATATGGTAACAAAAATTAATTGGTTATTTTTTGTCATGACTACACACTTAGACACATACTTAGTCACGGTTTTATGTAACAGAGTACTTAACTTTCAAAGGAAAAATTATGAAAAAAAAATCCAGGCTTCCTATGTGCTAGATTTTTAGCTATTTTCATTTCAAGAAAAAGATTGAAAAGAGCTAGATACTATAATGGTTAGTTTATGTGTCATTTGGCTGTACTTCATTGCCCAGATTTTTGGTCAAACATCATTCTGGTTGTTTCAATGGAGGTGCTTTTTGGGATGAGATTAACATTTTTTAAAAGATTTTATTTATTTATTCATGAGACACACACACACACACACACACAGAGAGAGAGAGAGAGAGAGAGAGAGAGAGAGAGAGAGGAAGAGACACAGGCAGAGGGAGCAACAGGCTCCATGAAGGGAGCCCAAGGTGGAACTCGATCCCAGGTCTCCAAGATCATGTCCTGGGCCCAAGGGGGTAATAAACTGCTGAGCCACCCAGGCTGCCGGAGATTGACATTTAAATTTGACTTTTGAATAAAACATTACATTCTCTGTAATGTGGGTGAGCCCCACCCAATCAGTTGAAGACCTTACTGGAACAAAGGCTGATTCCTTCTAGCAAGAAAGGATTCTGCTAGCTGACTGCCCGTGAACTTGAACTGTAGCTCTTCCCTGGGTCTTCGGTTTGCCAGTCTTCCCAGCAGATTTTGGTCTCACCAAGTCTCTTCAATCACACGAACCAGTTCCTTAGTATAAATCTCTCTCACTTAATATATACATATGCTGTTGGTTCTGTTTCTCTGGAGAACCCTGACTAATACAGATATACAGCTTGTTTTAAAGTGTAATACTGCAAGAGAGAAAGATACTTATGTCTTATATTTGCTTTCAAATTCTTTCACTAAGAGGAATGACACCCCAAGTGAAACCAGAAAATAAATAGTGATTAGGGTGATAGAAGTCCAAGGGGAAGCCAATTCGATTACTAAACAATACTCAGTTGCTCTAAATGGATTCAAGACTACTAGGGCTATCAATTTCAACTTAATGGGATATTTATTGATCTTTTGAATCAAGACATCAGAAGTTTGCATAGATGATATGAAGCTTGTAAGGGCAGTGAACATTTTAAATGATAGTACCAACATCTGGAAAAGTCTTGAGAGACTGGAGCTATATTAGATTAAACATAAGAAAGGGAAAGAATAAGATGTTTGTATCTAAAAATATCAACCCTCCAGAACAGGAATGAGGTGGAAAAAGACTGAGTAGCATAACACACACACTACCAGCATAATATGGAGAGTTTGAGGAGTAAGGGTCTGAATCTATCTTTCTGAAGTCTTATGCTAATTTTTGGGGAAATATTTTATATTCCCTTCTAAAAAGAATTACCAAAGTGAGAAAGGGATGCAAATTGTTTTAGGAGAAGTAGCGAAAAAAACTGGAGATACATAGTCTTGATAAGATTCAGAAAAACCCTTTTCAAGTATTTGAAGATCTTAGTATTTGTAAGAGATTTCGGTAGAACCCCAAGGAGTTGGAATTAATAGGATAGAGCCATAAAAAGATAGATTTCAATTCAGGGGAAGGAAGAACTTTCTAATAGAATGATTAAAGATAAAATGGGCTTCCTGACTCACTAATTGTGTTGAAATCTGTAGTAGATGACACTTTGGAGATAAGTACTTAACTTTGAGTGGACTGTTGGCCTAGCTGATATTTTAAGGTAATTCTTCTTTTTTAAAGGTGATTCTAATAAGAGTTATGAGTGTGTACTGTGCCCCTTTCCACTTAATGCTCACAACTCAGTGATAGACTTTACTATTTCCCCAATTATATAGGTGGGGAAGTGGCAGTCTAGAGTCTGAGTAGCTTGCCCAAAGTCATATAACTGATCACCCACAGAACAGAGATTTGAATCCTAGTAGTCTAACTCCAGCACCCATAAGTTTAATCAATATACTATCTATAGTCAACAAACTTTGTCTGTAAATGTCATAGTAAATATTTTGGGCTTTTCAGGTCATATGGTCTTTCTTGCAAAAGCAACTCTAGCACAGCTAGCTTTATTTCAATAAAACAGGCAAAGGGCTATGGTTTGCTGTCCACCATTCTGTGTGTCACAAAGTCCTTTCAAATGCTGAAATTCAGTGATTCTAAGATAATATATACAGGACATTGATTATCCAAAACCAGATTCTAAGATAATATATGCAGGACATTGATTATCCAAAATCAGATGCACATACTCCTCCATAATGTAATCTTGGTACCTGTCTTGTATTGTTTTTTTTTTTTTAATTTTTATTTATTTATGATAGTCACAGAGAGAGAGAGAGAGAGGCAGAGACACAGGCAGAGGGAGAAGCAGGCTCCATGCACTGGGAGCCCGACGTGGGATTCGATCCCGGGTCTCCAGGATCGCGCCCTGGGCCAAAGGCAGGCGCCAAACCGCTGCGCCACCCAGGGATCCCTGTCTTGTATTGGTTTGATACGATTTCAGATTCACTGTTTAGGACTTAAGTGAAATTGCTTTAATCCACTTGTTTATGATAAAGACCAAAAAAGAGGTTGTTTTAGAGATAAACTTGTTTTGATATAAGAATGAATTAAATGGTGTCAGGATATCATCATCTCATCTGTTCTCACAGAAAAGAGCTCAGTAGTTCAGCTGCTGAGGGGCCCCAGTGGGCACATATGAATGAAAGCATATGAAGAGGCAATGTGGCAAGGTGGCATTTTGACTAAAAATACCTAGAGTTTGTGAGGACAGAGAGTGTTCAGTTTGGCCAAGGCAATTCTTGGCTGATCTAAAAATCACTCTCCTATTACTTTGGGGGCAATTAGGTCCTGCCACAGTAAAGGAGACTCTTTCCCCAGCAGTGGCTAAAGCAAAGCCCTGCAGCAGCCCCTGGAAGATCTTCTTGCCCATCAGCACTGGCACCCTTATGCTCTGGCAACGTGCTCCGGTAACAGGGGACTTTTACTTTTGCACTGGCTGCTGGATGTCAGCCCAAGGTTGGCTAAGCCATCTCTTCTAAAAAGGTACACCTCAACTAAATTAGGACTTTATTACTTTCATCTTCTCTTGCTGAGAACAATAGTATGATTAATCTATCATTGATTTGGAGTATGCTATTTCTTTATTGACTCATTAAGAGATATTATCCTGTATGCTATTTGGCTTGTGGAGTTCCTGCAGTTAAATAAATTCCTGGCAAAGACAGCTGATTTTGGGATGCTTACAGGATGGTCCACTCTAATAACTGCCCCCCCCAACTATTCCGACATTTTAAATTAAATTATAGTGAATTTAGTTATTTGAGAGATTATTTCATTTTATTATTTTTGTATTTTAAAGAGGTGCAATTTGGAAGTAATATACAACAGATAAAGGAGAAGGCAGTGGGAGGGCAGAGAATGTTAGACAGTCCTGCATATAATCCAATGCCAGTTTTTGTTGGTCAAAGGCAAACAAGTGTCAAGGCAAAGAAGCCTTTTTTTAAAAAATATTTATTTGAAAGAGAGAGAGAGAATGAATAGGATGGGTAGAGAGAGAGAGGGAGACAGACTCTCCAGCAAGCTCCTTGCTGAGTGGGGAGCCCCACATGGGGCTCAATCACATGACCTTGAGATCACGACCTGGGCTGAAACCAAGTCTGACGTCCCCTGGCAAAGAATCTTTCTTGTCATATTATCATATTATTTGGAAGATACTGATTTGTTGGCATGTGCACTTATTTTTCATGAGAAAAGATGGCATATTATTCTCATTAGTTGTTGGAGGTGGGCCAGTCTCTCTTGCAGGACTAGGGAGGGTCCCTAAGAGGTAGGGATAAGGCTTGGACAATTCCTTACATTCTCTGGACTTAATTTATTTTTTTTTTGGTTCAGGTGGGCTTCTAGAACAGTTAGAAAGCAAGCAGAAGTGGACTAAATACTTCTTATGGAAGATCTTGCCAGAGTGAGAACTGCCGCAATAGAAAGTTAAATAAATCATTATTACTTCTTTCCTTTCTAAGATATGTCAAATAACCTAATTAGACACACAGAAATGAAATTCTAACTCATTCTTTTCGATACAGTTTTTAAAGATATCTGCATCAGTTTTCTCTTGATGTGTAACCAATTACAAGTGTAATGGCTGAAACAACACTGATTTATTATGATTTTGTGGTTCTGTGGGTCAGAAGTCCATGTGGGCTCTGCCGAATTCTCTGCCCAAAGCCTCACAGGGCTGAAATCGAAGTGGCTGCTGAGTGGAGCTCTTTCCTGGAGGCTCTCAGGAAGAATCTGCTTCCAAGCTCATTTAGTTTGTTGGCAGGATTCAGTTCC